GGCTCAGGGGGGGGGCCGAGGGGGACGAACCACGACGAACCACGAACCGCGACGAAAACAAGGATGTCCGCGGCCCACAGGGGCTGCCCTGGGAAGCCTGGACGGATGGGGGGTCCCAAGGGTGGGTGGCCCAGGGGAGCTGGGGCTCAGGCTCAGGGGAGGGGCCGAGGGGGACGAACCACGACGAACCACGAGCCACGACGAAAATTAAGGACGTCCGCTTCCCAGGGGGGCTCCTGGGAAGCCTGGACGGAGCAAGCCTCCGAAGGGTGGGTGGCCCAGGGGAGCTGGGGCTCAGGCTCAGGGGAGGGGCCGAGGGGGACGAACCATCACGAACCACGAACCACGACGAAAGTCAAGATGTCCGAGCTCTAGAGCACAGCTGTGCAAGAGAATAAAACTCCGCTCCAGAGCGTTTCAGAATGCTCTGCAGAGCGCTCCGGAACGCTCTGAGAAGGCCGCGGCGCCCGATACACCCTCCAGAGCCGCCGGGTCTCAGAGACTCCCGATTTCTCCTCACCCGATGTCATCCTCGTCTTGGCTTCGTCTTCCCCCGCGGCCTCCAGAGCACACCTCGCGAGGGGCTCCAACACGGAGCGGGAAGCCGGGGGCGCCCTGGGCCAGGGGCGCCTCGAGCAGCCCCCGAAAACGTCGCGGGCTCCCCGCCGCCGAGGGCGATGCCGTCGCTGGTCCTGCAGGCGTCCTTCGACGGGGTCTCCAGGAGAAGAAAACACGGCACAGACATAAACTTTCGGCGTTCTCAGAGGACTCGGCTCGGCGTCGCTCGGACGTGCACGTTTTTTTCCGGCGGGACCCCCGAGCAGCATCCTGGGTCATCCGGCAAACACGCACTCGCGAGACCGACGAATGCACGGAGAATGGGCGTCCGAGCGATGGAACGAGGAGGACAAGGTATCGATACTGCTACGCTTCCCTCGCACCACGGCCGGATCCGCCCGCCTCGAAGCCAGGTGAGAACGCACTCCAGCAGAGGTCCGCGCAGTGGCCGTATGGGTATCTTTTTGTTTCCGTTCTCGCGGCTTCCTTGGATGGGTGCCGGACCCCCTGCCTGGCGTGCGCAGCGCGACAGGGGCGGCGCTGGCGGCGCCGCCAGGGGGGTGCTGGTGCTGGACCCTCGGGAAGTTGTCCGTCCGATTTTTTCTCCAATGGGTCCTTCTTGGTTCAAGGTTCGTGCCTCGTATGAGGGGGTCCTTCTTGGTTAAAGGGGGTCCTTCTTGGTTCAAGGTTCGTGCCTCGTATGAGGGGGTCCTTCTTGGTTAAAGGTTCGTGCCTCGGTGCCCGTTCCTCGGAGAGGCTCCTCGGGCTCCCCGCGCCCGGTGCGCCTCGTACTCTTGCTGTGCCCGTTCCCCGCAGGCTCCTCGGGTTCTGGGCTCCCCGCCCCTGGTGCCTCGCATTCTTACGTTGCCCGTTCTTCGGGGGTTCCGCGGGTTCCCCACGTTTAAGTCGGGCCTGTCCCTCTACAGGAGGAATATTAAAAAATAGTCTGGGGACGATGTTTTAAACATGTTCGGGTATTTCAGGGTATTGTTGGATTATGTTTGTTATTTATCATCCAAAACCCCTCTGTAGGGGGACAAGCCCGACTTAACCTCAGGTTCCTCGGGTTCCCCGCCCTAGTTGTTGGTCCTGTTTCCCAGCAGTGCCAGGCAACGCCAGGCAACGTCAAGCAACGCCTATCAACGCCAAGCAGATCAAAGCAGTGCAAAGCAACTTCAAGCAATGTCAAGTATCGCCAAGCAATGCCAAGCAACGCCAAGCAACGCCGAGCAGTGCCAAGCAGTGCCAAGCAGTGCCAAGCAGTGCCAAGCAGTGCCAAGCAATGCCAAGCCATGCCAAGCAACGCCACGCGATGCCAAGCCGTGCTAAGCAACGCCAAGCAAGTATCGCCAAGCAACGCGAAGCATGCCAAGTAACGCCAAGCAGTGCAGAGCAACGCTAAGTGATGCCACTCAACGTCAAGCAATGCCAAGCGATGCAAATCGATGCCAAGCAACGCCGAGCAATACAACGCAGTTCTAAGCAGTGGCAGGCAGTGCGAAGCATTGCCAAGCCATGCCGGGCAACACCGAGCAAGGCAGGGCAGTGCCCAGCAGTGCCACGCCCAGCAGTGCAACACCACACAGAGTAATGCCCGGTTCTACGTAGGCAGCGCCGCCGAGGCGGCGCTCCCCTCCTCGGGGCCGCGCCGGGCTCCCCTTTCTCTTCGCCTCGAGATCCTGCCGCAGTGGCCCTCCCCGCTCCGTCGGGCGGCCTCCTCGCGAGGGGCCAGCGCAAGCAGGGCCCGCGCGGACCTTCGAGAGCTGCTGCCCGAACGAAGTGGGCACGGAAAGAATGGGTACAATGCCCAACAGCAGATCTGGTTCATTTTGAACAGGACTCGCTGTCCACGCCGCTGCGGCCTGTGTCCATTCGAGACAGAAGGCCGCCTGCCCAACAGCGGCCGCTGCTGGTTTGGGTGGGACAACATTTGTTGTTGGGCATTGTACCCATTCTTTCCGTACCCATTTCGGGCGTCCAAAGAGAGCTGCTGCCCGTGCCGCTCCTTTCTTCTCCGAGCCTCGGTGCAGTTCCTGACCTTGAGCGGCGAGGCGTTCGACCGCGTCCCGGCGAGGCCCAGCGACCGCCTGGCGGACGCGCTCTGGGCGGGGCAGGGGCGGGGAGAGCCTCGGTCCCAGAGCGCTCCCGGGTGCCCTCCCAGGAGGCCCTAGAGAGGAGGCGGAATCTGCCTCCTCCTCCTCCTCCTCCTCCTCCTCCTCCTCCTCCTCCTGCTCCCCCTTCCCCTCCTCCTCCTCCCTCTCCTCCTTTTCTGCGAGGTTCCTCCACTCCTCCTCCTCCTCCCGTCCCAGAGAGCTCCAGGGAGGCCCCATCGGACGGGGCCAGGACGAGGGTAGAGCTCCGCTCCAGAGCGTCCCGGAGCGCTCTCGGAGCGCTCCGGCACGCTCCGAGAGGGCCGCGGCGCCCGATGCGTCCTCCAGAGCCGCCGGATCTCAGAGGTTCTCGAGGTGTCCCCACCCGATATTAACCTCGCCATGGCTTCATCTCAGGACGTGCGCGCCCGACTGCTCGCCGGGCGCCTCTCGCGCCTGCTGGGCGTCACGGTCTCCGCGGCCGACGCCGTGCTGCCGGGGGGCCAGCTGCTGAGCCGCGCGGGGGCCGCGGAAACTTGCGCGGGCGCGTTCGGGAGCACCGCCAGCGGCTGAGTGTCACGACGACGGCGACGACGACGACGCGCCGCCGCCACCGACGACGACGACGACGACGACGACGACGACGACGACGACGACGACGACGACGACCTCCCCGCGGGCGCACTGACACGATCAGGGCAGCCCCAGACGGATGCGGTCCTGATCCTCTTCGGCGTGATAGTCAAAAATAGTTTAGGGACGATTGTTTGACAATTTTTGATTTTCGTGGGCGTATTTTGGGGGTATTCTGGATTTTTCGCCCAAAATCCCTCTGTAGGGGGACAGGCCCGACTTAAGCCTTGCCCCAGAGGGGCGCGCATTGGGGGGGGTGCGATCGAGGGGGTGGCAGCGAGGGCTGCATGGGCCCCCCCAGGGGCCCTGCAGGGGGGCCTTCGGGGCCCGACAAGGGCACCGTTCTCTCCCCCTCATGGACTTCGCGCCCGACCAGCCCCAGCCGGGTGCTGTCCTGGTCTTTTCAGTGTGCGGCCCCCGGAAGTCCTGAGCCTCTCCCCAGGGCCAGCTTTTTCATCGCGACTCGTGTTTTGATGGTTCTGGGGCCCTGTGCAGGGCCTCAAAGGGCGAAAATTTAGAACAATCCCTTGTCCTGCCTTTTTCACGACGAGAACATGTCTGGGGACGTGCTCACGCCGAGGAAAGAAGTGGAGAATACCCACCGGGAAGCTCTGAGAAAGAACGTATGCAGCCGGGAAGAGTGAAAGCACGTCCATGTGCACATGTTTCTTTACGAGGGATCGTAGCCGCCTGGACCAAAAACGTAGCCGGCATAGTAGAGGCGAGAGCACGGCCATGCGCACATCCGTACATTCTTAACAGATCGTGGCCGTCCAGGCAATAAAATGTAGCTGGCATTCAGGCGACAGCGCGGTTCGTGAATCTGTTGTGAGGAAGTCTCTGGCGGAACGGCTGCCAGACCGGCTGCTGGACCGGGCGGTCCAAGGCTCCCCTGCCGTTCCCCCCCGTGGGGTCTTTTTGGGGGGCCACATGCGAACCCTACCCCTACCCTCCACGATTTCCCAGGGGGAGTGTGTGGTTCAATTTGTTCGGGAGCTCCCGAGCGAAGTGAACCCCGCCCTCCCCCTCAGAAGTCGTGGGGGGTAGGGGTAGGGTCCGCATGCGGCCCCCTACGTCTGTCACTCTTTCAGCTCAGCGCTATTCGGGGAAATCGGCCCAGGATGAGAAAACAGCCCTGGAGAACGGGTCGGGATTCCCGGGGGCCCCGCATTGGAAGCGTCAGGACATCCGATGTCTGGCTGAAGTTCCGAGCCGACGGCGCGCGAGCGCGCCTTCCAGCTCCTGCTCCGACTCCTCTGGCCCGCTTCCTCTCGGGCAGCCCGCTCGGCGCTCCAGCCGAGGCGCCAGCTCCGTCCTCCTGCTCCTCCTCCTCCTCCTCCTCCTCCTCCTCCTCCTCCTACTTCTCCTCCTCCTACTTCTCCTCCTCCTCCTCCTCCTCCTCCTCCTCCTCCTCCTCCTCCTCCTCCTCCCTCCTCCTCCTCCTCCTCCCCCCTCCTCCTCCTCCTCCTCCTCCTCCTCCACCTCCTCCTCCTCCTCCTCCGCCTCCGCCTCGGCCGCACTCCCGTCCCCCCCGTCCTCCCATCCTCCCGCCCCTCGGGAGCCGAACCCCTCGCCTGCCCTCGGAGATGATCCGAAGGGCGTCGTCGAGCGCCCTCGGGGGCGCCTGCGGGGCGAGGCGCGGCGCCTGGCAGTCTGCGCTGCCCAGCCAAGCAGACGAGGACGCACGCGCAGGCGAGAGGCCTGGGCCGGCCGCCCCCC